ACGCGACGTGATAGCCGAGGGCGACGTGATAGCTGAGGAATATGACGCGTTTGTGCATCCATCCTTTGAGCGGCCTGCGGTCCGGGCAAAGGCTGGCTTGTTGACCGGCATCATCTTAGCCTGATCCTAGGTCTCCTAGCACCTCCAATGACACCCCGCGTTGTGATGACTCGGCAGGGCTATCATCAGAAGAAGGGCAATTGGTCAATCGGAGACGCGAACGACCTTGGTGGTGGTCAGACGCCCCAGAGTTTCCCAGACGGAAGCTGAAGCCAACCGTAACAGCCGGCCTATCACGACACGCTGATCCCGCGCGGAGGAACAAGGCTCGAGATGCTTCTCTGCTCCGGGCCCTTCCAACATCCTGGTGCCCGAAGAGGGCATATTCCAGGTTCAGAACACGGGGACTTTGACATGCTCTGCTACGGTAATAGTACTGCCTATTATCGGTATGTTCTTTGTGAGCGGCGCGACACGAACCCCTCTTCAGTCACCAATTCACCAGGATGCAATTGGGAACGCGAATCACCAGAGCCGTCGCGTCGTCAGACTCAGCCGGCCTGGGCTGAGGCTGATATCAGCACCCGAACGAACACTTTCCCGAAGAGGCAGCTAGTTATTGGTTTACGACGAGGGTCTTCTTCGACGTCTCTGGGGATCCCTGGATCATGTTTCTTTTTGTATCAGAGCGTATGGGACGCGGTTCATTCGGCACTTCCGTGGAATATTGCACTGACCTCTAGCCTAGCTGCCCACCCAATGGTCATGTTGAAGTCGCCTGTTGCTCCGCACTCAGGATTCAGGGTCCTGAGGTTGATGCTGATCCTTCTTCCTTTTCTCTCATCCTTGACAGGTGGCGATCAATCGCCGACCAGGCGATTCTTTTCCTGTCAACCTGTTCACGCCAAACCCGGGGATGCGAGGCTGTCTCAGATGGCTTGCATACATCATGTCACATACAGTATCAGCGCCTTCTGTGCATACAGTTGCTATGTCCGATCTCCAGTGCCGGTGATCATGGTACTTCAGTGTCTTTGCTAGACATCGTGAGCCCCGCTGGATGCACTGCAGTCTGCGCAGGCATATACGCGAATATTCCGTTTAAAATGCTCAGTTATGACACATGTATTCAGTGATACTTTTCTCTTCTTCGCCAACCCCAGCCTCCCCCAAGGATCCATGGTAGCGGTAGTCGACCAGACAACTAGACGCGTTCGGAGCGTCGGTCACGATGCGGTCTGGTCCTGCTGAAGACACGCAAGGAAGACGTGCCTTGCAGGTGGCACTTTGGGACAGTATAAATGCAATTCCAATCTCCTGGCCGCCGGCGATGGCAGGCGCAAGACGGCGCACGATGAGATGCCACGGCAACGATACTGTGCGTGTCCACAGACTCAAGATGAGTTCCCACCGGCGCCATCGTGGCTCCCAACTCCATCGTCCACGGACATACTGTGCGGCGTCGCGAGCTTCAGAAACATGCATCTCCTTCCCGTCCCGCGGTGCAGGCGAATCATGAATCAACGGCAGACGCCCAAGGGCTCCTCTTCAGAGATTTTTCCTCTCCCCAGAGTAGCTAACGGTGTAGTTGAGTTTTCGCATGGCTGGGCAACGGGCGGGTCTGGGGCTATTCATGACGAGATGGCAACTGCGGGCTCCATCTGGACGCCCGTCGTTCCCGCTCCCGAGGCTCTTCCGGCTGGGCTGGGGCTGGCTGGCTGGGCGCTACCGCTACTGCGTGCAGAGCGGATTCTCTGCGGCATTGTCTCCCCTGCGTGCGAGGTCTCGTGATGTCAGGCTCGGTGTGAGAAAGAAAGGCGGTGTCATCAATTGTTCAATGTTTTGTTTTCACGAAGAAAAAAGAATGGCCAGACGTGGGGTTGACACTTGACATACTTGACTTGAGACGGGAAGTGCCACTGCTACTCCACGAGGAAACCACTTTACGCGTTTTTCTTTTTTTCTTTTTTACTCTCTTTGGTACACCCTGCAGACGCGCCCGCCTTCTTGGTTTCCCTCAACTCTGGCACTCTGCACTGGGAATTCAATCTCGCGTTGCATAGCTGATGCTGCTGATGCTGCTGCCAGCACAGCTCTCCGGGGCCTCGTCTCGCCGCTTAGAGCCTAGAGCCCAGCCTGCGTCGCTGCGTGTCTTCCTCCCGGCCCCGAGGTTCGACACCAAGCCACGAAGCAGGCAGGCAGGCAGGCAGGGCAAACAAAAGAGGCAATGCATGCCATGCATGGAGGCAAGCAGGCCAGCCAGGCAAGAAGCAAGGCCGGAAATGAGAGGTTGTGTGCGCTGGCTGGCACCCTCTGCAGAGAATTCTCCGATAGGCCGGGCCGCCGTGGGTGCGTCGACGATCAGGAAGGGTCGGCTCGCATGGTGAAGACGCATCTTGAAGGGGACGGCTGATGATGCTCTCTGTCTTCGCCAGTATGGCTTGGAGCCTTCATTACCTAGACTCTGATATGGTGTCACTTTGCCGTCATCAACTACAGCTCCCGGCCAGTGGCAGAGAATGTTCAGCTTCCATACGAGCGGCAGCCGAGCCGAGTGGCACCGCGTTACGGACGGTTGTTCCGCTCGCAATACGTCGTCTCGCCCATATCATCTCGGAGGCTTGCCAATCGGGCTGGCAACTCAAATCGCCCGCGCGCTTACAGTCGTCTCCTCGATGTCTCTCTCTTTCCCCTATCTCAGTCCTCGACTACCGGTTCTTTATTGGACGGAGGCACCGACGAATCATTACCATCGGACCCTGTTTGTGGGGGATATGGTCGCAGTCAATCTCCGAGCCGGGCTGGACTTTTCCCATCAGTCGCAACTTCAAATTCGCGTATGCACGACACCCTTTGTTGGGCACACATAGGAGATTGTGATCGGAGCGCCGCCGAGATCAATCAAAGTGACCTTGCATTTATTCTCCTGCGGTGACGTTTCGTTTTCTAGAAGGCTTTTGGAAGCGTTGCTTGCCACTCGCAAGACGACGACGTCGGGTTAAGGTGTGCGCCCGTATCCGGTCAGCCGCCATCTCGTGCGTGCTATGGCGCAGCTATGACCGATATGTGCAATTCCAGGTCTCCAGTGTGGGCTGGAGGGCTTCTCAACCACAAACCCAATGCTGAGATACCCTTGGCCAGTTTGCATACCGCCGTCCAACAACCAACTGTATCACCTGCACAGAGCAAGCGACCATATACTGCTCGGCATCTCAAGTCACCGGTGCTGGCCACCCTGTGCTATTCCCCCGATGATCGCCAACATTTGGTTTTAGTCAGGCGAGAATTGTTGTACCGCTGCCTCGCAGACATATGGCGGACAGGCCTTCCACGAGAACCACATCTTCAGATTGATTGCGGTGTGCCCACTGAACGTTTGGCTTTGAGGTGTACTACCAGCTGCGATTTACCGCACCCGCCGCTCCATCCTGTGGTCTGGAGTATCTACTTTTTTCTCGAAGAGCTCTGGGATGACGAATTCGGTGTTTTCTTACTGGGGAATCTTCTTCGCTTTCTTGAAAAGGGTTGCCAGGTCGCCCTCGTATTTTCTGTCCAACTTCGCAAGCAAACTCCTCGGTGCCAACCTCGAGCTATATGAAGTCTTCCCTCCACCCCAGCTCGGGTTCTGCTATTTTTCTGAAGGCTCCGCTCCGTGGCTCGAGCACTATCGTCTTGATTGCGACCGCCTTTGTGGATGGCGGTTGGTTCGGCCGCTGGATCGTCCTATTTCGCCCGATCGCGATTTCACTCTTCCCCCTGACACCCAAAGTGTCACTATCCGTCAACAGAGTATTCTGACTGTCGTTGATATTGTGTAGGAATAGCACACGATCCGGTGTCCGTGTCTGCTTTCGCAGCTTTCGTAAATCTTCAGGAATATCCAGCCGCAGTGTCTTCAACGAGTCATACCGACAGTGGGCTGGGAATCGAGCAGCGCCGAGCACGTCTCGTCGATCCTCTCCGAGCCAAGTTTTTCTCAATGTCGGTGCTGAGGATACATAACATGCCTCAAACGGCACCATACCTGAAAGACGGTGGGTATATTCCACATGATTGTTTTCAACGGCCCGGAACTGGACTGGATAGAAGCCTCCCAGAGTCCGTGGCTCCGTTGGCCACCCTGCTTGGTTTCCCTCACCAACGATTGTTTCGCCCCATTCCGAGCACGGAGATACATGCATCTCGTAAAACTTAATATCTATCTTGTCATCGATGCTTTGAACTTTCATCACCCCCTGACATGGGTATTGGTCCAAGTCGATAGCCAATCGAGCGCGGTCTTGTTCAGTCAACATTGGGAACGTGCTCCCGCTGTCGAGGAGCGTCTCCAAATGACATGATACGTTGTCTTGCGGTTTTTGCGCCATACCATGTGTGGACTTCCTACCATTCATTGTGCGCCCTCTCGCAACCATGCTTTGGTCGATGGTGAATTTCAAGGACACGGGATAGCTGCTGATATGGTACTTGTCGTTTATTCCGTAATGACGATCAAGGCAGAGCCCTTTATTCGCTAGTGCATCGAGGCCTGGACCGGCTAAGGGGGGCTCGTGCCATAACCAACCTGAGCCGAAGTCTGCAAAATAACGGTCGAGTCTCTCCTGTCGGTCCATGCAGAAAGATCTGTACGTGAGACAGGTATCGACGATATGCCCGGCATAGATCAGGGTGAAGGAGTTCGAGTACTTGATCTGCCCTGTCTGGTATCCTTCCATCGCAGCTTGGATATTAACTTTCTCGTCTTCGCATTGACAGGTTTCAATGGCCCATTTTAACGAGTCTATACGCTCTGCGATACGGATTTTCTCTTCTCGCTGGTCTCTGGAGGGTAGATATCAGCGGGGTGAATTGGCAAGGCCGGAGGGAAAGGCATACTCTGGCATGTTGTTCTCCTCGTTATCCTCCATTGCCGCCCTTTCTGCCAATAGTCTTCCAAGGATCCTGTTGTTGTGTTCTACCTGGTTTGGCGAGTTCTCCTCATGGTGTTTCACAATGAAGCGTTACTGCTCGATCTCGCGGTCCTTTTCTTCGATGTAACTAAGGTTCTGGCCCAAGTCGCCAACGACCAGAGACTGCCAGGGCTTTCGCTCTGGAGCATTGTTCATCGGTGCTGTTGATGAGACAACTGGTGTTCCAGCGATAGAGGCTGATTCCCTCGCGGTCTGCGTCGCAGCTAACCCTTTGTTCTCCTGAGAGAGTTCACCGCCTAGCTGACCCCTGAACCGGAGTCTTCGTTGCTTCCTGTCGGCCACCTCATCGGTGGGCATACCTAGCGTCCGTTTAACCCGGCTCCTACCTTCCTGCACTCCATTCGATTCTTCGTTGGTGCCAGACTCTGGTAGGTGAGCAGGGAGCTGCATGTTGTCGGGCATGGTGAAGGGAAAATTATTGCTGATGTCAAGAATGACATTGGAGACTTTCCTAACTCAAAGAACACAGGCATCACAGCAGCGAAATAACGAGATTGACTACTCCGTTGAATTGTCAATTTCGGGGAAAGATCCCCAGCGTGCCAGCGCTGGGAGTAGCCCGCAAACGGTAAAGACCAATTCTTTCACGCAGCCTTATGTCTCACTTGCTTGCTCAGAGCTATGACCCATGCTAGCATTCTTTCTTCATCTCCTATTATGCTGGAAAGAGGAAGGCCCCAAGGGGGGAGATCTCTCCATGGAATGCCCGTGATTCTATCCCTGGCAACCGACGAATTCCTCACGAAGGGAAACAATAACCGTGCGACCGCTTCCAAAACACTTCGCCGCGTGCGACACTCGCAACCCATTTTTTCCTGTCCCTCTCTTTCTTGCCCACCTGTCGCGACCGTCTCTCCGTTCTGCGCTGGATGACAATCGTGTGAAAACGTTCGGCTACAGCAAGCGACGTTAGCTTGGGATGAGTTGGTGTTGACAGGTTACAGCTGCGAACCACGACGACAATTCCGCGCAATCTACGGAGCCTGGGTGCTGGCCTCGAACTTGCACCTCGGGCGGCTGGGATTCTCTGGCGCGTCTGGTTGTCAGCGAAGGGGGTGACACTGTTGATCAAAGACGCTCGAAGAATTACGAAGCAACTAACAACTCTTCTCGCTGAGAAGCGTCTGTCACAATGGCCGATTCTTGGGCGCTTGATGCTCAGCTCCAGGCAACTGACGAGGATGTTCAGGCGGAGCTTGTAGACCAGTACAACCAGTACAGTGGCAGCTTCGATTTTGAGATCAAGGAGGATCTCCTACTACCATGGCCAAGTTCGAATGACCGGAGTAATAGCCGCTCGACTTCTTTCCAAAAGCAATGGAGCTCAATCGGGCGAACCTCGGCCGCGAGTGGTGCCACGGGCTCTGGCAACGAAGATCCAAGCATTAGGATTCCAGAAATAATCGCCTTTCTAAGTAGTAAAGACAGCATGAGAAATGGCGACATTTGGCCCCATCGGATCGCCGAGATAGAGCAGTATCTCGAAAATGCCGAGCAGCGACGCCAACGAGGCGATTACGTCTTCACAGATCTCAATCTGGTTCGAGCCTTGCACGATGCCCGCGTCATGGTCAGAGTCCACCACTTCTACGACAAGCGCCGCCACGATGCTTTCACGCCCTGGACGGAAGAGACTCTGCAAGGTCAGATCAGACAGGAACGCCTGCTCACCTACCCGATGGCCTTCCCTCCGCCGACTCCCAGCAGAGCCCAATCTGAGTTTAAACGTATCGAGAATGTCCCACGGCCGGATGATTGGAGGCTTCCGTCTTCTTTGAGCATCGTAGCAACGCTTGACCCGGGTACCAACCAGGATGCAAATGGCCGGACCCTCCCTCCCTTGAAATCCAGGACTGGTACTAAGACCGTCGGCATAGGCGTGACTTGCGGCCCCTACTCTCTCGCTCAGCCCGAGCGGATTTATTTTCCAGGGCAAGTCACCGACGACGACGACGACGGTGCCTTCGACGATGAAGACATTGAAGGCCGCAGACCCGGCGGAGTTCTTGATCCCGCTATGGCGGAGGTCATGATGTATTGCCACAGCGAGAACTGGTTCTTCGGAAGTGCTTTGCGGGACGCGAAAAAGCAATCAAAGATTTCGACAGCCACCAACCTCCGATTCGACATGGACAACGAGCATTTCGAGCGCTGCATCAAGGGAGGGCTGGCGGAAACCTGCGCCAATGTGCCTCCGTACGACAACACGATAGATCCTAGTGGCCCCGGCGGACCTTCTGGAGGACCTCCTGGACCCCCTGGAGGACCCCAGGATCCCAATTTCTACCCAAAGCGCGGGTGGCAGCGGGCTGCTCTCCAGCAGTGCCTGAACATGTTCACGAACCACGAGAACCGTGTCATCAACACTATGTGGCGGCGGCCTATATTCCCCTACAACGAGCCTATCCCGTTACCGAAGGAGATTGTATACCACCCGCGCGTGCTTCATATTGACAAAGTACCGATGAGCGAACGAGACCCGTTCCCGTGGGTTCATTGGTCCAACCAGTACCAGTTGATGACAGACTATCTGGCAACGTGGCAACGCCGAAGGTACAATAAAATGAACTGGGAAATTTTCGAAGCTTCTGCTTTGCCCATGAACTTCCGTGGGCCCCAGAACTACCGAGGGATTGCCGTGTACGACGACTATTGGCTCAAGATCGGCGAGTATCTCGAACAGCTGCTCGCCTTGCTAGTGAGGACATGGGGAGTTGCTCCCCGACCCCTGCTAAGAGCCATCCTAAGGGACATCGACGCAGGTAGAACTGATCCTGTTCCCGCCATTTTAGACGACAACAATTACCCCAACGAAGACGAGGAGACACCCCAATACCGGCGTGAGAAGAACCGCCTTCGACGCCGGGATATCATGCGCCGCCCAGGCATAGACTTTACGACCGGTACCGGTCCAGGTGCGGGCCCGGACGAGTATTACGAAGCCCATGAGCACGAGAACAGATACAAGCTCGTTGACGAGCGCGACATCGGCTGGCTGAGATACCTCTGCCAGCCCTCACGCACTCTCAAAGCGAGCGAGACCTGCTCTTGGGACAACCTCCAGATCATTTTCGACGCCAAGCTTCAGCTGTATTTTGCGGACGTCTACAATTCCGGGGGTCCAGACCACCTTGTGAATGTGTGGACGGATAACGATCCGGGTGAGTTGGTCGACGATATTCGGACGACCCTCGACTGGATTGGCCCGGATGTGCAAGAACAAATTCAGATTCAGCGCGAGGCGTTCCCGATCCCAACCGTCGTGGAGGCACTAGCATACATCAACGGGTGCGGCGAGGACGAAGTGAAGGACTACAGCAATAATGATCCCTACCTGCTACATCCGAACAAGAGCTATCAGTTCAGCTTGGCGGAGGCGGAGACCTTCTTGATTGAAATGCAGAAGGCCGGCCGGTGCAAGTAAGTCTGCGATGAAAGGATCAAATACACGTTCTGGCATTCCACTGACAACAGACAGGTTCCATCCTGCGACAGAGACCGAGAATTCCAAAGTAGAACGACCGGACTACGATTTGCACCCTGAGGATCGAGTACGCTGGCGTTATGCGACCGACGAGGATCGAAAGGAACAGATCCAGGAGTTTCGGGACGATATTACGACGTACTACCACGTGCAGTATCCTACTCAGGGTTTAATGGGAACAATGTTCGTCGAAGATGGCGGTTCTCAGGAAGAACAATATGCCAAGGAGCTGGCTTGGATGCTTGATCACGTTGGCGTGCAGTTTCCGGGAGAGCTTGCCTGCCTGGAATATGAGATAAACCCTGCTCTGAGAATGCAATTCATCACTCGGCATATAAAAGAGGAAGAGTCGTGGGTTATCGAGGACTTCGATGAATCGTACACCGAGTATGAACGCCGGTCGCCCATGTATGAGGACTTGATGTCGTGGCAGCAACTGGCCAAGGTGGAAAAAACACGGCTACAATGGGTCAAAGAGCTCCGGGCGAATCAGGCAGCTATGCGCCCCCCTGATTGGGCCAAGGACCTGCAGATACCGTGGGAAACGAACAGAACTCCTGAGCGGACTTGTCAGTTCTTCCGCAACTTGGCCTATCGTATGGGCCGCACACTGAGGCACGTGGACATGATCAGGGAGCGGCACCTGAACAAGGTGCGTAACACCTGGAAGCGGCCGGTCCTTCTAGACATGTCGGACGACAAGAAGGAGCCCAGGCCCGTGGCCACCAGTGCCACGCAGCTCGACAAGCCCGACTTAGTCCAGGAGATGGTCCAGATATGGGAGAAGCCCATCTCTGTCGACGACTACGGATTGGCAGTGGACGCGTGGAACGAGGACATCCGCACCGGCAGGGGGGAGGTAAACTTCATGCCGCCAGACATCCAGGAGGTCATCGACAAGGCCGACCCGGGCTACACCGTCAGGAGCAACAATAAGGACGAGAACCCTTTCACCATCCTGAGGGAGGGCATTATTGGCGACCTTGTCCGAAACCGGCCAATGTTGTACCCCGGACGCCACGTGGGGCTCCTGGACCAAAACGGAAGCAACTTCAAAGGGGTTGAAAGACCCAGCCTCTTCGCCTGGGCGACTAGGGAACAAAGACGCTTTCAAGCAAAATACACCCGCGAGCACTTCTTCAGCATGCGTCGCTGTCCCCTTCATCGCCAGTCCCCCGCCAGGAAGCAGACCATCGAGACCCGCGAGGACGAAATCGTCCGGCGAAACCCTACTAACGCTGACCAAGAGTTCGGCATCCTCACATACCGCATACCCTTAGGCCAAGAGAAACCCGACATCATGCAGCAAACTAACAGTGGTCCTACCAACAAGAACCCGTTCGGGCAGAAGCCGGGGCAGGGTTATCAAAGCCCCCCTATCTCGCCAAACAAGCAGCAGGGGAAGCCCCAGACGCAGAAGCCTCCTCCCACTACACCCAAGAAATTGGGTAAACCGAGCATTTCTGCATTGCCCGATGGGGTTGCAGGCCCTCTGACCAAGATACAGCGCGCAGACGACAAGTATGTCGCCGGCGCGGCCATCTTCCCGGCGGGAGAGACGCTGCTGCAGCAGACCATGATCAGTCGACAGCTAGAACAGGGTAAGCAGACGCCGGGCCCCCTCCGTGGTATCGCCCTCGCCCTCGCAAAGATAAATGCTAACGTGCCTTGACAGCCCTCTACCCGCAGAAGACGTACCTCGAGCTCGGCTTCAAGGGCAACATCAAGACGGTATGGAAAAAAATCACCGAGAACGCACCACCCCAGATTCCGCTGCTGCCCCCCATCAAGAGGTCGGAGATTCCGCGCAGCAACCCCCTGAAGCGCAAGGTCCCCAGGAGCTTCATGATGGACCCCAAGTATACGGTGGAGCCGGTGAGGACAAGCAGCCAGTCGAAGAAGAGATCGTCGCACCATGGGGGATCGACACAAAGCTCGACACAAAGCCAGCAGCTGCTGCCACCCCCAGCTGACCAATATGACTTAACCACATTCAAGTGGATGATCGCTATACGTGACGACTTTGAGGGGGGGACCCCGGCTGAGAGAACTGCTGACCTCGAAACTGCCAAGAACACCTTCGGGGGCTGGTTTATCGTGTTCCATATGACTGAGCCGCACGCGAAGATCGATGGCCTCTTGTACGCACTGATCTCGAGCTGGAAGAAAATGCACCCCAAGCAACCCTGCCCGACCGCCCTCGAGCTGAGGGCACTGTTCAACGATCCTCGGATGCCAACGGACAACCGCCAAGAGTTCTTGGACAACAACAACCTCTTCTCGCACTTGCAGATAACCACGCTCCTGGTCCTATGGGGCGAATCTCGCAACATCGTTCCCCGCCTCTGTTATTTCACCAATAGTCACCCGGCAGTACTCCCTGTACCACAGCTCACCCCGGACCCAAGCAACCCGGCCGTCGCAGATGCGGACAAGACCAGACTCGACATCTGGGTTTTCAGCAGGAGACATTGGCTGCATGGCATCGGAAAACCGGTGCAGCACGACGCCATGCGTGCCGATAATCACGATCTCAACTATCATTTCGGCATGCCGCGTCCACGCTCGCCACCGGTATAACCACCTCCCTGAGCCAGTACCGGCCCGGGTGTGGGGAAAGTGGCAAATGGAGGGCGTGTGTTAGCAGCCCAAACGGATGTGGGCGTGTGCGTAGTCGGGAGAGGAGGCGACGCGCATGTCGTCGTTCGTGGGGCTGAAAACATCTGGCCGGGTTTTTCCTTTGTCTGTTGCTTGTTGTCGGTTGCTGCTTTCGGCCGCTGCCATTCCTCCCGTCCTTCCTTCACTTTACCCGTTTTCATTTGTCTCAGTCGGCTGTGGGTGAATCGAGGGGAATCTAAGGCTTCTTGCAACCAAACAGAAAACTTAGTAAGCCCCCTAATCTAGGGGCTTTCGGATTCGTCCTTCGTGTATTCTAGCAGATTAGTAGGAGGTAATGACAGAAAAGGACTCGTTCGGCTTCTTCCATCTGGCTCATAGTTACTATTTTGCGTCCGCTTGCGTCCTACCTAGAATATGGGAATGTGTTTGTTTGCGTGGGGTGGTGAGAGATGCTTGGTGATTGCCTGCCATTCTTCCCCGGTAGGAGTCTGCTCTAGGGGAAATGATAATAAGACTGTCCGGAATTGGCAGCAAACAGCATGCGTCAAGGGTAATTCACTACCATATGCAGCCCATACCAGTGCCGAATTCAGCCCCATTCCAAATATATCACACCACACCACACCACACCAAACCTCCCTCCCTCCCTCTCAAGCCACCCGAATACGGCAACATTCCGCGTGCACACCTCCCCCTCACCCGCTCCAAATCCCCAATCTCGACCACGCGCCTCACACTCCTCACACCCCCCTCACCATCCCCAACTCCCCGCGCTCGTCCGGGTTCCCCGTGCAAATGCGTACCAGCGCCGCGAGTAAAATGGTAGTGGGATGGCAGCCCCACGTGCGGCATGCTGGGGTGGAGAAGACGACGACGCCATGGCGGGCTTTGGCGAACGGAACGGTGGACGGTTGGGGCTGCCGTAGGCTAGGGCTCATCCCGTATGTTGAAGACGAGGTTTTATTTTGATGGACTTATCGTACAGCACGGGGGCTCTGCTTTTTGTTGTCTTTTGGGGTATTTGGGTTTGGCTCCTCCCTTCGGTCGAAGTGCTTAAAAAAAAAATTCGTGGTCGACGCTGCCGCGGGGTATGACGGCGGTTGGGGGGCGGTGGTTTGGGGATATTAAAGCACTAGAGGCGTGTCTCAAGTCTTACACTTCCGTTGTCATCGGCGGTGAATAGAAACCCCAAGACATGGAATAGGGGTGAATCGTAAGCAATAAGTCAAGTAGGATATAACATACTGGCAATAGCACCCGTCCCTCCCTTCAACCGCTGAATAACCCTCATCCCTCTCTCCTCAAGGCCTGAACCACCAAGAGAGGCCACCAGGCAGCCAGTCACCCACTTCTTCGTATTCATGTTCCACTCTACTAACACCTCTAACACGTAGAACCCCTGCCTTGCCCGGGTTCCGTAATATACTTTCTCAACCCGCGCAGCAACGCTGCTCCCCCTTTACGCGCTTAAGCCCCTGTTCGAGGTCGTTTCCTCGCCCCTAGTGCTGAGTCCGCTGTCAAGGTGTAACGATATGAGGGCTATAGAGTTTTGTTTGTTTTGTTTGTTTTGTATTTAACGTGGGGGGTAGCTCCTCAGTAGTGCAAACCACGCCTCCCAGAGCCATTGCATCGCAAGGTTGTAGAGGTGTCAAATTAGATACATTCAGATCCGCGCACGAGCCTATCCTCGCTGTAGCGGTACCAATCTGGAGTGTTCAGATGGTTTTAGTCAATACCCAAGCACGATTCCGTCAGAAAAACCTCCTATCTAGTGACAAAACGACCCAGTGAACCTCAGTTCTCTGGTGTATATATCGTTCCAGTAGCCGTTCGATATATGTCGCATTGGTGGGTGGAGTAGGTGTTTGAAGAGGGCTATAGAGTGAGTACATGCATACTCGATGCAAGAACACAAAGCGATCTCGAAGAATTCGTCGTGTCTTATCCACATCATGACTGCGCTTTCAGGTTCCGTATCATACACCTTTCAGCGAGCAGCCGTCAGCAAGCCAGCCTAAATGCCACGTTATATACATCGAGAGGCAAGCGACAGCCGAAAACAAGTTCAACTGCTTCATATTGTCTGTCAGGAGTGCGTCATGAATATCCACAGCTGAGAACGAATTCGCAATGCCAACTATAACAGCAAAGTAATCAATAGCTATTTGCAGGAGAGTGGTGGTCCACATAACATGGCGCGTCAAATCAAGAACAAGAAAACAAAGCCCCTTTGTTTCGATGAACGTACATGTGCAGGCCTCTCCTCTCGTCGTCCTCCAATGCCTTCGCCGCCCATCTCCTCAGAAGATCGACTTCCCTGTATCTCGCAAGTGGCTCCCATCCCACTTGCGGTGAACGACTTGATCACTACTAGACGAAACATCATGGACTCCCACAGACCACCCACAATGTTCGTGACAAGCACATGTGTTTGCTGCTGTTGCTGCTGCTGCTATGCATAGTTACGCGTGCAGTCTGTAGGGGAGTGGGACAGTCAGTTTGCTATGTAAATCCCATGATAGATCAAAGGGAACGCGTAGGTCTATCTGATTGGGGCCTATTTCGCTGAACAGTGATGGATCGATCTCGTAGTCCATCAGAACTCGTCTTTCCCAGGGAACGCCCGAAGTCATAAAGCCATTATTGTTCTATCATAGATTCGCATAATCCAAGAGACCCAGGAAACCAGTATACGAGCAACGTCAAGCCGAACAAACCCCGTGCTCAGAGGTCTCGAGAGATAAATTAACAAAGTTATTGTCAGTGTCGTATCATCATGCATCTATGTAACTACCTAAGTATGCTAGTCGTCACCCAGTCGAATCAAAGCAGAAACACCTCCAGGATGTAAGTAACCAGGAATCATGCAGAACAAAGTCGAGTGTTTTTAATCCCCTATACCAAAGCCGGCCAATGCTATCAGACGAGGACATTTCCACAGACATTAAACAGACACAAGCGCTGGCGCAGACGTAGACGTGGCAAACGCCGTCTATCCACAAAAACACCATGCCGACTCCAGACCGTGAATATCATGCAACCCTAGCCCATCGAAGAAACCCATTATCATTCAGCAGAACGAGCTACCCCGGCGCCGTTTCTCATGCAGTCCTCCCCGTCTTTCCTGCTTACTACTCCAGCCTTCTCAGAGGGACTCGACCTTACTGCGTCCGATAGAACTTCTTGTATAGCAAGTGTAGCAGGAGGTTGACGTTCAGCCTCAGGTTGCCCTCGAACATGTTCATGAACTGGTGGCTCTCGAATTGGGCTTGGAGAAGGTCTTCGATCGGCATGAGGGCGCTTGCACCCGGAATCTGGATGTGGCCACGGCTGCCCTCGAGGTTGAAGATGCCGACCTCATCGCACGAAATTGTAAGATTAATACTACTCCAGTCGCGTTCCGGTACACCCTCCCACGCCACAACAATGCCCTTCTCCGAGAGCGCCCGGACGCTATATTTGAAGGAGCCGAATTTTGGTACCCGACCAGAACGTTCGAGCTCTCTTTGATGATTGTATTGTTTCGTAAAGGGGAGGAGGAATCGTTTTTTCCTGCCAGAGGATGTCAGTGTGGATTCATCGGCAAAGATACATGCGTGATGCTTACCCTTTGTTCTTCTGCAGCGTTGACATGGCTTGTTCGATGTAATCGTCGTAACTCTTACGCTGCTGCTCAAGGTACTTGGCCTTCTCGTGAAGATTCCCCAGGGTCAGTCGGACTCCCTCCAACTCACGTTGTCGCTGTATACGGCGGCGGCTCTTGGTGCGGATATCCAGTGCGATGGCATTGAGAACGTCTTGGTAGAAATTGTGTTTGGAAACGCGTCCCATCTGCTCCAAGCGCATGATGTTCTCCAGGGCATTGCGTTTCATGTCATAGTACGACATACGAGTCACATCCACCATGTTGACATCCGAGTAGGCGCCCTTTGTCTTGCTGCCAGAGGCAAAGTCTTCTCGCAGGAGTGTCCGCCATTTGTGCTCGTCTTCCTGTGTAGGTGGGCGAACGAGAATCTCGAGCAGGTTGGCACCTGTCTGGACACGGATGATGTACAAGATACATCTCTTGGTTTCCATGAAGAGGTGCTTGATATCAGCCTCTGGATCATCGACGTCGTGCAGCTTGGGAGTAAGGAACATTTGAATATCCGATGAGCCGGCAGCGTGCATCTCATTCTCGTTGTTCTTCGCACTGCCCAGATCTTGTAGGATCTCGCGGAGCACATCGTCTCGGCCAGGGCAGATGCTGGGAAGTTCTTGGGCAACCAGGGTGTGGATGGCGAAGATATCGGTCATCTTGATGTAAAGTGTCGGCCGGTTTTTGGCGTATAGGTCGTTGAACTCGTCAATGTGGAATGTGCTCTCGGCATCGCCAACCGATATCAGATCGTTGGTGATCTGGGCTAGTCGCTCACTCGACTCGGCCACAAATGCATTGAGAGGCTGGAGGTAAATGTTATCACCACCGAAGGGACGACCTGATGCGATCTGGCCAAGGACTTTGGCGACCTCGCTCAAATTCCGCTTCTGAAGAGGGGCGAGATTTTTCTCGATCACGCCAACCTGCTCGGGGTTGACAACCGCAGGTTGCAGATAGAACCGCCACATCCAGTTGCTTACAATTTGGAGTACGTGGCGCTGAGGTTCTCGCTTGAAACGGTCACAAAGAGCTTCAAACGTCTGTTGGCAGATGAACCGCAGGCCGTAAGGCATTCGAGGTAGCAAGTCCTCCAAGGCAAGGAAGTACTGATCGCAGATTTCTCTTAGGTCTCGCAGATGGTCGATGAACAGCTCACGGGTCTCCGGGTCTTTGATGGCGAGTTCGCGAGGGATGTCCAATTGCCGTCGACTCGGCTGTCCCGTACGAAGCTCCTCATTGTTGATGGCTGACCGGTAGATCTGCATTGGGTCGCTCTCCAAGTCCAGAGCGGGATCTTCGACGATGTTGTCTCGTACCAACGAGCCGAGAAGTTCCCTCAGGTACTTCCGGTCGCGTGGAGACCGGGTGTAGTTGCTTAGTATCTTGGACCAGAAGAAGTTGCCCCGAAGGTAGTCTTGGATGGAGTGGCAGGACTCTACTTCCTCCCGTATCGATCTTGATATGATTTTCAGCAGATAGTACTCTTCTCTCCTTTTCTGCGCGTATCCGAAAAGCCCCATCATCAGGTGTTCTATGCGTTTGCACTCCTTCTCGGCCGTACCCGATTCACGGATACGCTTGAACAGCCGAGCGAGGTACTGTGGCTGTGTCTGAAGGTTGAAAAATAGCTGCTGGTACGACTCGAGCTTCTTTCTGGAGCTCTTGTTGAGGGCCTTGAGATCGAATTGGTTGGTGGAGGAAATGGAAGCATTGGCGAGCAGATTGCTGGTGTGGCCGCCAAAGTTGTTCTGATGTCGAACAACTTCGTCGAGGGTAATCTTGTTCTTCACCAGCAACGCGATCTTGATGTCGAGCTGATCAATGTACTGCTCGAGCATCTCATTCTGCCGGACTTGCTGGACGACCGTCTTCCGCATGCGCTCGAATTCGATTTCTTCGTTGAAGTCGAAGTCGCTGTCGTTCAGCAAGTGCACAAAATTCTTCACAGCGTTTACAGGGGGGTTCTTCCCAGCTGTGAGATTCTTGTATGCCTCCCCCTGAAGCTTGCCGCGCACAAAACTCTGGATCTTGACGACTTTTGCCATGTTCTCGTTGAAGTGCTTCTTCTTCGCAGCGAACGTTTGTCGCACGAGGAATCCTCGAGCCAGAGCTTGCAGTTCGATGATTGCCTCTTCGTGCTCATCAATCTCGCCTAGCAGTTCGCCAACGTTGCTGCGTAGGATCATAGCGCGCGCAAGTGCTTGAAGCGAGATGACTTCTTGCTCGTTAGACTTCAGATCGTCGAGGAAGGCAAAGTGCTGCTCCCTAAACAGAGATCCGCGTATCCTAGCTTGGAGGCTCGTTATCTCGGGCGTATGCGTCTCGAGGGCATCAAGGTCGGCCGCTATGAGTTCCCGCTGCAGCATGCCTCGAGCTAGGGACTGAAGCTCAAGTACCTGGGCCTCATGGCTATGTAGCGCATCCAACGTCTGGGCCACATCGCGGTGGACTGCCGCTGCACGAATATGGGACTGCAGTGTGCCAATCTCGGGACCATGTTGCTCAAGTTCAGCCTTGGTTGCTTTGACTTCCTGTCGCAGTAGGTTACCACGACTGGCGGCCTGCAGTAGCTCAAACTGGGGTGTGAAGCTTTCGAGGGCTTCGCGTTGACATTGTATCTGGTGTCGGGTTATCATGGCCCTGGCAGCAGCCTGCAAGTCGGTTATGGCACCGGCTTCCTCTTCAAGTGATTCGCGTTGACATTGTATCCGGTGGCGGGTCAGCATGGCCCTGGCAGTAGCCTGCAAGCCGGTTATGACTCCTTCGGCTTCCTCTCCAAGGGCAGAAAGGTCTCGGCCCACTCTCTCTCTGGCCGTCATTCCTCGGATCACAGCCTGAAAGCCGGTTATAGCCTCGGCTTCCTCTCCAAGGGCAGAAAGGTCTCGGTCCACTCTCTCTCTGGCTAGCATTCCTCTGATCGCAGCTTGGAGTTCCAGTACGGGACCGGTCATGCTAGTCGTCTCCTGCTGCTGGGCGGCGACCTTCTCGCGAGCAAGGTAGCCGCGGAACAAGGCTTGAACACTCCGTATGGGGCCGTCCACTCGATCCAACTGAGATCGAGTGTCTCGTACCTCATCACGGACTTTCATCGCCCGCACCACGCTCTGAAGCTTGAGAATATTCTTTTCCTTGCTCTTCCAGAAATGCTTCCTGTGCATCATTCTGCTCCGAACCAGGAATCCACGCGCCGAACTCTGCAGGTTGACGGCAAACTTGCGCATCTGCAGTCTGTAGCCCATAATCTGTCGAGTCCAGTCGCCTCGTATGCGCGCCTGAAGGTCTATAACCTGCTCTTCCGAGTCCCATAGCCGCTGCATCACATCAGCCAGCCGCATTCGAACCATGGCACCTCGCATCTGCGCTTGTAGGTCGATGACGGTCGTCTCGTTCTCGGCTAGCTCTCGGTCGATTCGCTCTTCTTCGGTCTCTTCCGGCTCGGGTGTAGGCGCTTCCACACCAAAGTCGGCGCTCATATTGCCAAAAGTAGGCATGCTCACGCCGAGCTTATCGAGGCCCTTCTGCATAGCTTCCAGCTCATGTTGCTCGAACTCCAGCTGGCCCACGAGGTTGCCTATCCTGAAGTCGACAATGCCCTTCCTGAACAGAAGCCAACTCAGAGCATGTATACAGTAGATGACTTTGGGGATATTCTTCTTCTCGTACAGATCTATCAATTCGAACCGGAATAGATCGGGCAATTCGACCTCGTCTAGGTATCGGAAGAAGGTGGCCACGTTGTCCCAATGCCTCGCTTGGAGCCGTTCGTGCCGGAATATGCGGTATCGTCGATCCGGGTTCAGAGCTTCCACGACCTCGGCCAACGTGACGCCATCTCGCAGTGCTTGCTCCAGCTCGACGATGGGCGGAATCTGGCGGTGGATAATGTCTTCAATCCACTCCTTGGCTTCACCAATGTGGCAAAGGTACTCGTAAGCTTGCAGAAATTGTCGTTGCTTGTCCATCCAATTGCGGCCTTCGAATCCATAACGATCGCTGCGTAGTCCATTCCTACTGCCAGGCGCGTCTCCCGTTCGCTGCAACCTCCGTCGCCCACGAAGGCCTACTACCTGCTGCGCCGGCGAGGTAATGGCAAATTCACCAGTGGAACCATCCTGGGCCAGTTTCGATAGCGTTCGCAGTTGATTTGTAGAGGAACGGCCCAACTGCTGCAGATCAGGAGCCGCAAGGGGAGAGTGAGAGTGTACCGCAGCACTGGGCGAATAGGCGGCGCCTCCACCCACACTTGAACGTATCGAATCAGAACGAGTGAGGAGCATGGAAGTCGGCCGGGAGTTGAGCATCGGACGAGGCGCGGGTTTCGGCGTGGGCGACGTTCTTAGAGAGAGCTTGCCTATGTCGACGCTCTGGCCGCGCTCGCGGTCACGACGGGGAGGTGTGCGTGGCGGAGGTGAACCAGATGCCGGAGCCTGCGGGAGAGACCGTAACGACTGTCTGGCTTGGTTGTACATGCTTTCTGGGCTCTTCGTTGGCTCATCGTATATACTTGGTTTTTGCGGCGACGTGTGTCGGATAGTCGCTTCGCTCATGCCACGTTTGTGCCCGAACCTCGATGCGCCGTGTCCATCTGATGTCATTGACGAGGCTGCACTCGCCTGGCTGAGGTCGTAGGGATCGGAGGTGTAGGAATAGCCAGAAGATGCCGAAGAGGAGGTTGTGGATGGTTGGCGGTTGATAGCTGTGTGGTCAATCGTGTATGCCTGACGGAGAGGATGCGGCCGGTACGACGACATGTCGACGCCGAGAACAACGGTTGATGCTCGTCTTCAGGTGTATTGATCTTGTTCCCTGACATTGAAGTCCTCATCACAGCTGGTCGGGTTCCAGAGTAGGCCAGAGAGAGGTCGGACGGCTCTGTCGACGAGTTCGGGCAGTGTTCTTCGAGGTTGATGCGACTGTTTATTGCTTGATGCGATGCTTGCTTTGCTGTGATGCGCTCTAACGTAGACTAGTCGGTAGTTGCGATCCAAGCTCGCGGCAAATGTTGGAAATGTTGGAAAGGAGGACAGGGAAACACGCTCTTGAGGTGCGGCCCAACGTTCAAGGTTTTCGGTCCCAACTCGAAGAAAACGCGCGCGCGCAGCGCAGCGCACCCATGCGATGGAAGAGGAAACAGTTGCGGCTGCAGAGGAATGGCGATATCGTCACTTGTAATGCTGCTTGATAGAGAAAGACCATATGCCAATTAAATCTAAATCTCCGGCCAGGAAGAAGCGACCCCAGCAGTAAATCAGTCAGCCAGCCTGGTTTGGAGAGGAAGGTGGTTGTACTCTGGGAGGGGAGTACACTGTGTGTCCATATTAGGCAATTTGTTTATTTATGATTGAGCCGGGTAGCAACCAGTATTCCAGTGCAAGATGGATCCAAAAAGCCCCTCACTCATCAGCCAGCGTTTATGCAAGGGGCAAGCCACAGCGCCACACCGAGAGCGGAGCCAGGTAGCTGAACTGACCCCACCAGGCACGTGCAGTTGAATGGAGCTTGACAAGCTTAACAAGCCACAACCACTCAGCCCATTGTGGCAGCAGCTGTGTGGTCCAGTCAAACAATGGACTCAATCCACTCACTGCCGCGCACTTCATTAGGTCACCGCCTCAGCACCAAGTGGGAGCTCTCACGTGATAATGCAGTACCTATTGTGCTCCACCGTCAGCGCTGATTCACAGGCTGGATTGTGCTCCCACACCAAGTATTTCACTAACGAAAGCTGCCCCGCATTGTGCATCAGGGTCCCTCTTGAACAAAAATAAAATCTGGTCCAGTCGCCGAATCCTCTCTTTTTCTTTCTTCTTTTCTTCTCTCGGGAAGAAGATAGCAATCACCTCGCCGACTGGTCAGTCTCACGCGACTCGGCGCCTTTCTTCAACCTCACTGTCATTCACTTCCTTTCACCCCAGCCAATATGCCCTCCACCAATGGTAACTCCGCTGTCAACGGCACCTCCAAGTTCCTCGACTTTCGCGGAGCCCTCGAGGCCCTGAACGAGTATGAGTCCAGAGACGGACTCGGCATCGAGGATCTCGTCGATACGAAGAAGCATGGCGGTCTAACCTACAACGACTTCCTCGTCATGCCGGGCTACATTGGCTTCCCTGCTTCTGAAGTTGCGCTCGACTCACCCGTCACCAAGAGAATCACACTGAAGACCCCCTTCGTGTCTTCTCCCATGGACACTGTCACGGAGCACGACATGGCTATCCACATGGCTTTGCAAGGTGGCCTCGGTGTAATCCACCACAACTGCTCGCCCGAGGAACAGGCAGCTATGATCCGAAAGGTCAAGCGATATGAGAATGGCTTCATCAACGACCCTGTCGTCATTACCGAGAAGACTACCATCGGAGAGGCCAAGGCTTTGAAGGAGAAATGGGGCTTTGGTGGTTTTCCTGTCACTGGTAAGTGCACATTTTCTCGCTTCTCTCCTCCCATGCCCAAAGTCACACAACATGGGCGCCGCATCCAATGATTACAAACCTAAATATATAACTTTCGTTCCACCGTATAGACAGCAATGTCATGGGGAAAAAAATATGCTCTTTATGAAGATGCCAATCTCACCTGTTTCTTGTCACTCATCATGGCGAGGAACCTTTAGACTGATTGATGTCTTGTAGAATCCGGCAAGCTTAACTCCAAGCTCCTCGGTATCATCACGAACCGCGACCTCCAGTTCGAGGATGACCTCAGCCAGACTGTCGATAAGGTCATGGTCACCGACCTAGTCACTGCTCAGTCCGATGTCACCCTCCTCGAGGCGAACCGAATCCTTGCCAAGTCCCGAAAGGGCAAGCTTCCGATCGTCGACAAGGACTTCAACCTTATCTCTATGATCTCCCGATCCGACCTTAGAAAGAACCTTGATTTCCCACTGGCGTCAAAGCTTCCTGACTCTAAGCAGCTCATCTGCGCCGCTGCCATTGGCACTCGTCCCGAAGACAAGACCCGTCTGCAGAAGCTTGTCGATGCTGGTCTGGACATCGTCATCCTGGACAGCAGTCAGGGCAACAGCATGTACCAGATTGAGATGATCAAGTGGATCAAGCAAGAGTTCCCTGATCTGGACGTCATTGGTGGAAACGTTGTCACCCGCGAACAAGCCGCCGGCCTGATCGCTGCAGGTGTCGACGGATTGCGGATCGGAATGGGTAGCGGAAGTGCGTGCATCACCCAAGAAGTCATGGCTGTCGGTCGCCCTCAGGCTGCTGCTGTCTACTCCGTCTCGAACTTCGCTGCTCGTTTTGGTGTACCTTGCATTGCCGATGGTGGTGTACAGAATGTTGGCCACATCGTCAAGGGCCTCGCACTCGGCGCTTCCACCGTCATGATGGGTGGTCTGCTCGCTGGTACGACCGAGTCCCCTGGTACCTCGTTCGTCTCGCGGGAAGGCAAGCTTGTCAAGGCGTACCGCGGAATGGGCAGTATCGACGCCATGCAAGACAAGAAGGCTGGTGCTGGCAGCAAGAACACCCAGGCTAGCAATGCTGGCACGGCGCGGTACTTCAGTGAGGGAGATAGTGTCCTCGTCGCCCAGGGTGTGTCGGGTGCTGTGGCGCACCGCGGCTCTATCAACAAGTTCGTGCCCTACCTCGCCGCAGGTCTCAAGCATTCCATGCAGGATTGCGGTCAGAAAAGCCTGAAGGACTTGCATGAGGCTGCTGCCAACGGCACCCTGCGCTTCGAGATCCGAACTGCCAGTGCTCAACTGGAAGGTGGTGTCAACATGGAGAGCTACGAGAAGAAGCTTTACGCATAGTAGACTTCTGATTTGGCTGCATTGTATTGAGGTGGTGGTCGGAATTATGATGAAACGGCAATGCATAGTTCGAGGAGAACCCTGAACAAAACGTGATACCTCTGGATTAGATGGCTTGGTTGATGAAGGGATGTTCTTGCTCTTCTAGGCGTTCAAGGTCAGGGGGTTAGGCGTACTTCCAAGTACTCGGCTAGGGCAAGTTCGGCGGCATGAGTAAGGTAGTCTCACGAGGCCGGTGGTCAGGCGCATGAAAAGCGAATCGGAAAACTCGATCAATTTGCTATGATATGTCTCCTCAGTATGCTGCTACCGTGACTCGTGTGCGGAAGAATGGCTGTGACAGCCTTGCCCTTCTTTATATTGAGGAGCTGATGTCCTTTTTCGCCGCACCTCTACTGCACATTGGATTGGCTATGCCACCAAGATGAGCAACACCAAGAGTAATGTATTAAGTCAAAAGACAACGAATGATGCAGATTTTCTAGCCCGGTAACGCCTCCCATGACTACCAAGTATGATGACGATGCTCGCTCCCAATGACCGAGAACAACAATAAACGAAGAGGAAACGAATCATCGACCGTACCGTCCGTCATAGGCGGTATCAACAAATGATACCCTCAAGTCATCCGTCTGCCCATCAAGTCATGAATCATCGCCCATTCGATGTCTAAACCCGGACATCAAATCCATCCGATCCCACCCATCGATTAGGTAGACAGCGCAGGCCGGGGAAGAAAAGCATCTGCGGCTGGGGGAACAAGCAGCGATAGACTCAAGGTCATTGTCCCAGTCCACCAACTGCTGCGTGTGCCACGACTGATAAGGCAGATGATGCTGTCCGTCGACCCCTGCGATACGTTCTTCAAGCCGTATGTACCCATCAATCGTTCAAGACCATAGCCCTGACTGCGAACAAAACCGGCTACGTGCGAGCCGCGCTGCTGTTGCCGCTCTGTCCCACGGTCCCATAATCGCGTCCCAAATCCGCGGTGCTCCCGCTCTTCATGCTGCTGCTGTCGCGGCTACCGCTGACCATCAGCAACTCGCGTTCCGCGTCGGCATCCACGTCCTCGTCAGGCGCGCCGGGTACAATGGTAGCCTGGCTCGTCCCCAGCCCATCCCCCTCCTCTTCCACTTCCTCAACAGCCGACTCGACCTCGGTATCCTCATCCTCACCCTCAGCGCGTCGTGGCCCGCTCGGTCCATCCCCATCGACAATCATCCAAGCCGGCACCGCGCCAACAACAGCGACGCACGCCAGGATCCACCACGGCGCGCCAATGAGCTGGTTCTTGACGCCCCAGCTGAACGCAGCGCCCGTCATGGCGGGCCCGCTCGCGCGGCCCAGCGCCGAGAAGGTCGTCGCGAACCCATTCAACGTACCGAGGATGTTGAGGCTGGTCGCGCTGTTGGTGAGCAGGATGGTGGTGCAGGGGAACCCGACGATTACCGCAAAGGCCTTGACGGTCATGACGGCCAGCAGCGCCGCGTAGCGCAGCGTCGGGTCTGCGACCAGCACGGTGAAGGGCGTCGCGACGTAGACCAGCGGGAAGACCACCATGCAGGCCTTGTAGCAGTTCAGCGTGCCGAAGTACGCGCACAGCGGCGGGAACAACAAAAACTGGATGAGCCCGCACACGATGCCGTAGAGCGTGAAGATGGTGCCGATGCGGCCGCTGGCGAGCCCGAAGCCGCCCGAGAAGTGGAGGGGGAGGGACGTGTTGGAGGGCGTGTGCGCTTCCTCCGGGTAGTTGAGGAACACGGGGAGGACTTGATCGTAGGCTACCGAGTGTAGCGCTAGGAAGGTATACGAGATTAGGTTGATGGTCGTCTGCCGGGTGAAGACGTCGCGCAGGGATGGCGGGGTGGGGTTCTCGATCTTGGTCTCCTTGACGGCGACGGCTGGTTTTGCGGTCCGATCGGCCTGGAGCAGCGGCGCTGAAGCTTCGGCATCCTGGAACGAATATCGGCGGGGGCGCTCCTGTCGTCGTAGGGGGTGGTCTTGCCAGGCCTCGGTGATGCGCTGGCCGAGAACCAGGCCCCAGTCCCTCGAATGGCGCTTACTGTTGAGTGTTTCCTTCAGGAACAAAATACCTGTTGCGAGAGATATCAAAAAGATGATAGAGGCCAGGATATTGGGTAGAGCGAATGGGTAAGCCTTGAAGAAACGGCTGTTGCCGAATAGTTCTGGAAACTGGTCTGCGGGCTTTGCGAAGAGACCGCCGAATGCTGGTCCGAATATCGATCCTATACTCCACACCAGGGGCATGATGGAGAACGCTTTCGGCTGCAGTTCTCTCTCGGGCACCATCTCTGCCACCATAGTCCTGATGATACCAACTTTAATCGTCTTAGTACGTGATAACCTTGGGGAAATTGTACTTATGAGCCTACCGTTTCCATTGCATCCTCCCTGTATGGCACGAATGACGATGGCCATAGTCAAACTCGTTGACATTCCCCACATTAGAAAGCAGATCATTGTCAAGAACAACCCGAGCATGATGATCGGTTTCCTTCCGTTAGAATCTGATGCTCTACCCCACTGGCAACAACTTGTGTTAGCAATTACTCTCCATGGAACCTCCGGCCGTGTCCCGAGAGTTCGAACTATGTTTCCGGACTAAAAGCTCCCGTGACCAAGGCTGAACCCCCGAGGCAAGTCATAAGGGGTAAGGGATAAGTCGAGATGTTACTCACGGGCACGGCTGTAATGCTCTGTGCTAATGAAAAGACAGCAGACGTGATGCCAGCCCATTTAGCCACGTCCTTCTCAGGCACGCCATACCTAGAAGTAACTCAGCATCTATTCATCGAGAGGTGATTCGATCAGTAACATATGAGGACTACCTGAAGGTACTCATATCCATAAGGATGGAAGTCCTTCCAGGTATCTCAGGCAAGAAACAGAAGGACTGCATCTCAGAAGCTCCTACAATCAACCTACCCGGCTATCATTTCCGGCAGATATGGGAAGACGGAGGTGGAAGCAAGCGGCTCGGCGAACCGTGCAACAGCTGTAGGCTTAAGTTAGCCATGGTGTCTAGTAAGGGGAGGGAATACCTGGTCATGCCACCATGTAGTAGTCTTGTGGAGTGATGCCGCCCTCATCTTTCTGGCTCGATTGCTTCTATGATGCCTGCTTGAGTTTGGTATAAGACAATGTCGACACTAGTTCAACAAGTCACGCAGCTTCGGGACAGTCATCAAGGCAATGGGACTTCTCAGCCTCTGCGGTCCCAGGTAAGGGACACAGTCCAGTAACGAACCAAGTATTTTATTGAGCGGACAAAGTAGATACGTGAAGTAGCCAGGAGGGCAGTTTGCTTTTCATGGTGGTCTCCCGAAGATAGGTACCGAATAACATGAAGACCACAGCTTTGGGGATGACTAGGTGAGATGGATGGAAAGGGAAGACGGCTATGCTCACCCAATATGGCCAGCTGCTGGACAGGCAGCTTCGGCGTTCGTTTTGTCGTCGCCATGGTTGCCGGTCGTGAACTTTCCAAAGCAAAGGCACTGGATTATGGAACAGAGAATGTGAATGCAGAAGGATTGGGCAAAGTCAAGCGGCTATGGGTTTGAGAAGGTAGGGGCGCCACACAGCTTGTACTGTATAAGAGTCTGGGAGAGCCTGAGTCTTGTCAAACTTGTACAACAGGCGGTTAGTCAAGTTCTTGAGACCTGGGCAGCATCAACAGTGGCAACAGTGGCGACTCGAAGCAGAAGATTTGTGAGAACCAACGGAAGGTCGAATTGTTATAACAAAGAGACATGTCGGAGAATCCTACCTGACGACACCCACAACGGACCGGCAACCCTTCCCGTCGTCCTGGTCCTCCACCGCAATGCTCTTCGTCCCATGCATCGGCCTAGCCTAGGCCAAAACCAGGCGTGGTTCGCTGCATAGACAGGGCTCCCGCTACAGCCCGCGGAGCCTGTGATATGCAGACTCAGGTCCAACTAGACGCTGGGAGTGGATCGCCATGTAGGCAAATTCTGCTCCAGTGTCCGATGGCAGTTTGTGCTCCTCGTGCGGCCCTTTGTTCGACGGGAATATGTCATCGGAGGCTCGTATCGGCGAACTACTAGGTACCCCGCCACTCCCGCCTCGGCAGCACCAGTCAGCCATTTGCAACTCGCAAATGACAGATGACTGATGACTGGTATGACATAAGAAGGGGGCAACGAGGTCCGTTGTCGGATGTTGTAAGATCCAACTCGAGGTTGGTGTGGAATCGTCTGAAATGAGAAGGTTGAGCGAACAAGATTGGTTACACGCCGATTTTTTACACACTTTTACAGCCTCCTGATCATGCAATGCCAGGGGTCTTCCTGCCTGCAGGGGGCTCTTGCAGCTGTGACTCTGTGAGGCTTGGCCGCCCCCATTCTTTCTGCCAACGGCCGAGTTCTCATTGGTTTTCTCATTGGTTGCTATGCGCCCTTCCCTCCACCCCGCATCGACGCTATCGCACCAGCCCCCACCAAGTATTGAGGGCCACCACAGTCGTCTCTGCTGTCGTGTCTTGGCTTGATTGATCACGTCGCCAAGTGAGCCTTACACAGATTGTATCTCTGATATGCATATGGCCTGGCATCGGAGGTAGGTCAATCGCCTCTTTATACTAATGCTACACACACTCATCGCGGCTAGTGGTTGCCGCACACCTGCCAGATGATTAGGTACCAATAGCAGTGGATGACCTATGGCAATGCAACATGGCTGCACGACAAACTAGAACAGATGATCGCAGTGGTTATTGACTGCTTCTTTGAAGCCACAGCATATGTAGTCATACAGAGTTCCTTTCGGCATTCAACCTGCTATGCAATTTTAGAGCAGAGTGTTGGTGTCATTATCTGCTATCGACACCTGCTCTGATTAGAATGCCTCCAGATCGATGCTTATGGGCTTCGAGCTGGATGAACCGAATTAAAACGAATAGGACTGTTTATTATTATGGACGAAAAGGTCATACATAGAAGTTGCCATAAGTTCATCACTCCCCCCTCACGAACCTGTAAGTAGCAACATGTCCCCCAAACGGAATTCCAGAGTTCGGAATCAGCTGGCGGCCCGGCGCCAACAGCGAAGCCCGCGTGGCGGAGAGACTCAGGACCTCGTGCTACAAACAAGGATGCTCTCTCACCAAGGCACCCTATCATTCGGTTGTTGACTTAGTAAAACTAAATTAACCATTGGAAGTGTAGACTTAATGTACTATAATCATATATAAGAAGGTAGGACCTTCAATTGCTGACATAAAGCGACAACTTCAACCACCTGACTCCTAGAATGCCCATGCCCCCCACATGGTCGGAGGATCGCTGACCCCCTGCCCGATTCCGTCACGCCATTACGTCGGCGGTGGCGCACCTATCTGATATCTCGAGCCCGCTTGACGACAGCCGAAAGGTGAAGCTCCCTCATGAACGCACCACACGCGACCGCGACCTCCACCTCGTCATTGTCGTCATGAAAGAGCACGAGGTCAAGATGGCCACCGAGAGCACGCCACTGATCACTACCGTGAGCGTTGCGCCCCCGCGCCAGCGCTACCCTCACCAGGTCGTGCGGAGGTTCTGCACCATCGCGCTCAGCTCATCGCTCATAGCGCTCCTGGTCACGTTTCTGGTCGGCGTTGTCTTCGCCCCGGCAGACAGCCCTCATCATAAGTGGCCTGGGCACGAGAAGAAGCATGTCACTTATGGGGAGCTCCAGAGTATCCTGCTGGAAACTCCCAGCGCTGCTAAGGCGTCAGAGTGGAGCAAATACTACACGGCTGGTCCGCATCTAGCTGGTAAGAACCTCTCGCAGGTAAGGGAATAGCCGATCCGCGACTATCATATATAGACTCATCGTGAACAGGCTGAGTGGACACGGGATCGATGGAATGAGTGGGGTATCGCGTCGGATATTGCTGTGTATGAGACCTACATCAACTACCCCGTCGACCACCGACTAGCCCTGCTGGAGAAGTCCAAATCCAATGACAGTGAGGCCGAAGCCTGGAAGGTCGCCTTTGAGGCCACCCTGAGGGAAGACGTCCTCGAGGATGACCCTACGACTCAATTAGATGATAGCATCCCGACCTTCCACGGCTACTCCGCTAGTGGCAACGTGACTGGCTCATTCGTCTACGTCAACTACGGCACCTACTGGGACTTTGAGGATCTAGTCAAAGCGAATGTCAGCCTTGAAGGGAAGATTGCGATCGCTCGATACGGTGGAATCTTCCGTGGGCTGAAGGTGAAGAGGGCTCAGGAGCTGGGCATGATCGGCTGCGTCCTCTTTGGCGACCCGGGGGACGACCGCGAAATGACAGAACAGAACGGGTACGAAGCCTACCCTGATGGTCCTGCCCGAAATCCCAGCAGTGTACAACGCGGAAGTGTTCAGTTCCTCAGCGTCGCTCCAGGTGACCCAACCACTCCTGGCTACCCTTCGAAGCCAGGAGTACCACGGGCACCAGTCGACGGGGCAATCCCAAGCATCCCGTCTCTGCCCATATCATATTTGGAGGCTCTTCCGATTCTAAAGGCTCTGAACGGGCATGGACCCCTGGCCAAGGATTTCAGTGAATACTGGACCAGAAACACAGGGTTAGGCTACAAAGGTGTTGAGTACAACATCGGTCCCTCTCCCGACGACATCGTCCTCAACCTGGTCAACGACCAAGAATACACCATCACTCCCTTGTGGGATGTCATTGGCATCATCAACGGCACGATTCCTGACGAGGTCATTGTGGTCGGTAACCACCGCGATGCGTGGATTGCGGGTGGAGCAGGCGACCCTAACAGTGGCTCTGCGGTCATCAACGAGGCCATTCGCAGCTTTGGAGAGGCTCTCGAGAAAGGGTGGAAGCCACTGCGAACCATCGTATTCGCCAGCTGGGACGGTGAAGAGTATGGATTGATCGGTAGCACCGAATGGGTTGAGGAATATCTTCCATGGATCTCAGCTGCCAATGTCGCGTACATCAACGTGGACATCGGCGTTGCCAACAAGGGCTTTTCTGCCAGCGCTGCGCCTCTGATGCATAAGCTTCTCTATGAAGTGACCGCTCTGGTACCGTCGCCCAACCAGACGGTCAAGGGCCAGACTGTGCGTGATACCTGGGATGGTAAGATCAGAACCATGGGTAGCGGCAGCGACTTCACGGCTTTCCAGGACTATGCGGGCGTGCCTTCTCTCGATATGGGCTTTGGTGGCGACCAGCCCGGAGCTCCGGTTTATCACTACCACAGCAACTACGACAGTTACCACTGGATGAGCGAGTTTGGCGATCCAGGCTTCGAGTATCACAAAGCAATGGCTCAGCTACTTGGCCTCGCCGTCGCCAAGATAGCCGACACGCCTCTCGTGGCATTGAATGCTACCGACTACGCAACGGCCCTGAAGCAATACGTCGAGAAGGTCGAGTCCAAGCTCGAGACCGCGCAGCCCGAGCTGTCCAGCGACGTAGAGGTCTTCGAGTTCCGGGCCCGAACGGCCGGCACCGAGGTCAAGGGCGACCCCGCAGCTTTCGAGGTCTCCCTGGCTCGCCTCCAGCAGTCCATCGGCGAGATGAAGGCCGCGGCCATCAAACTCGACGCCAAGGCCGCCAAGCTGGCCGAAGAAGCTAACGAGCACATCCCGTGGTGGAAGTGGATCAAGAAGATCAAGCTGCTGCATCACATACGGTTCACCAACACCAAGTACAAGAACATCGAGCGCGCCTTCTTGTACCAGGGAGGTCTTGACGGTCGGCCTTGGTTCAAGCACGTCGTTTTCGCGCCGGGTCTTTGGACCGGTTATGCTGGAGGTGAGTCTAATGTCCTCTCTTTTCCTGTAATGCTGTAACGCTGTGATGATGGTGTGCTGACTGGCCGTGTCCTAGCTGTGTTCCCGGGACTCCAGGAAAGCATTGACAACAAGGACTTTGTGAATGCGATGAAGTGGGTGGATATTATTGATGGCTGTATCAAGACTGCTACCAAGACTATGGAATAAGAGGGGATGCAGAGTTACCTCAGACTACATACAGATTTTGGATAACGACTTGGGAATTGATTGGGAATTGGAGCATACCAGGTACCCAAGGCATGCGGGTTGCGATTTAGATCCGAGATCAATCATGAAAGAACCACCCACTTGTGACCAGTTGTTTCTGGATTAAGTATGCACCGACTCGACTGAGGAAACAGCAATCCGGAAGCTCGGGAGTTCAATGGCCCAGTGAGCAACATAATCACCTTTGCGTATGGCATATTCCCTCTGAATCTATATCATCTATAGACAATGCATCATATCGTGATTGTAAGCAACAGAGCCGCGGAAGCGGCGTCGCCTGGCATCAGCTGGGTGCAGCTGGCCCTAAGTCATGCGTAAGCCTACACGCCCTCTGCGGGAAGCTTCGAAGAAGCTGGTAGCCAACGAGATCCAACAACACAGAGCTCCTGTGAAACATCGAGTACCGATCAATATAACGACGAAGGCCCTTTTGGCCGTATCAGCTATCGCTGGGTCTCTCGCAGCGTCCTCGGGTACCAACAAGCGATACGTCGAGGAACGCGATGGCATCACCTAACACGTCTTCGAGCACGCCGTTACAGACTTAATAAAGATATTATTGCACGAGTACATAGTAACCTCTACCATCGGTGTACAGCGAAAACCTTGCCTCCCAGGCGAACCTAGGGCGGCTGGACAAAAAACCTGCCGCGAGATAGTCTGGGGCACCGTCTTTCACAGCCTTCAAACCAAACACAACAAGACAGCGGGTGTGCTAGGGCACCCACCACCAACTCCATCTTCCAAAAGAAAGGGTGTCACCAAGTTCAAACCTGAGTAACTCCACCCAACATCTGGTAGTCTGATCAATACCACCAACATCCGTATACCAGCAACCGTATGCCACGCCCTCTAAATAGGGCACCCTCTGACCCTCAACAGCGCCAACACGTCCTCCATGCAAGCGCTAAATGGCTCGAAAATAGGTGGCTCGAATAGGGAGTAGGTCGGCGATAAGAAGCTCAAATGGGAGTAGCGGTCGGTGAATAGGAAGCTCGGTGAGTAGTGACCCGTTGACATTGGCGACAGCGAGGTATAAGGGACCTCTGGAGGTAGAAAGGACCTCTGATATTTGTTGAAAATACGTCACAACATGACGGAGACCAATCAGGATTGCAGCGAGGGAGAGGGTGTAAACAATCGTCGAATTCGAGTAATGAAATGTCGTGCGGAAGTGCAGAAGTGGACTGGACCTCTGAATAGGAAGAGTACTCAAAGAGAGGAGGCTATCCAAAGGACCCAAAAGGTCATAGATTCGAAAGCGAGATGCTACTATGTAAAGTTAGGAATGGTCTGTATTGGAAGAGGAATAAGCATACCAAGCTGTCGGGGGTGCCAGCCTGCGATTCCGTGGTAGAATTTCCCGCATCCGATGAGTTGCCTGCCGGGAGCTCATCCATCGAGTCGTTCGCCGCGGCCAGGTCCCAGGGGGGGCCATTGCCCCACGGCTTGAAGCTGAAATAGCATGTAGCAATTCTCAGGTGTACCTTCTTCTTGCAGCGGACCGCTGCATAGCCGCCGTCAACGGCCTTGTGAAGGCACTGCTGGCAGGCCTGCCAGCAGTGGAGAGAATTGCTCCAAGCATATCTCTGCAACGTGAAAGAATACCAGCCGGTTTCGGGACTGCCGCATTGCTGACGGGTCCTCCACCCTTTGTGCTTTCCGGTACCGTCTCTCATGTGGTTAATGCATTCGTGCAGCTTTTGCTTTTCCGCGTCGGTATCCGGGCCCCCCGGGTATGGAAGTCGCGCGGGATCGATTTTCTTGGGATTGCAATGATAACTCCCTACAACTGTAGAGACGACTGCGAGCAGAACAGCCGCGACGAGGGTGAAGCGCATGGTGAAGGACCGGTCTCGATGGGTAGGTATTAGGGCTGGGGGCGGAGGCCACGAGAAAGTGAAATATAGGAGTGGTCTGTATTGGACTTGGTGTTCCCAACCCAGCAGATTGAGAGATGGTATCGATGTTGTGGAATGAACTCAGGCTATGCCGTAACCTGGCCTGTATTGGAAGAGGAGAAAGGATAGCTGAGGGGGTTTTCATCCCATATATATAGGTGGGAAAGGTACCTCTTACAGCTCTATCAAATATCTTGATCTACCGAGCTTGCCGTTCCCAACTCCGGCGGAACAGCCGAAGACACAGCTACATGTGATCCCAACAGGATACCACTCCAAGGCTAGACAACGCACCGCCGTCATGTAGCTCCAGGCCACCATCCTAGCCGAGCTCTTCGTCGCCATGGGCATCGACGCCGCGCACAAGTGTACGAGCAGCGGCATCGGCTGTAGCCGGGACCCGAGGACTAGACACCCCAAGGATGTCTCGATCGTACGTTATGTCCCTCCCACCGACCACGTATTCTAACACAATTACTCGGTAAAAACTACCTCTCTGTGCAAATTAGAAGGAGCCTTAAGAATATCCCGGAAGGAACAAGAACAAAGAGCTACTCAACTCCCGGGAGCGTTCCCGAGAAATGGGTTCGATCTCACTGCCCACTGCTCAGGGCATATGCGACGAGGAAGCGCCTAGGGATCCATTCCCGCGGCACCGTCCGCCCGCGGCCTGCCTATCTGAACGCTGCTCGGTATATCGAACCGAACGGCGTTGACAGGGAGCCCACCTAACCCAGAGCATATCGGCAATGAACTCGATTAACTTTTTGGTTTAAACCTTGATAAGTGTTGAGTGATGGGTGCTGGCTGATTGTACATTGCCCATACGGACTTTGAGCAGTCCTCCCGACGAATGCAAAATAAAACACAGTGGCACGGTAAGGCGTTGGCTCTAGGACCAGCCTAGGGGTGCGGCGACGGCAACGACCTCGGCGACGACAGCGACGCTTATGATAGCTATTGTTGACTTGCGAGTTTGAGTTTCTTGGGAACGGGCTTGTCGTTTGTTGTTGGGTTGTCAGAATTGGGGTGCCCCTCAGCTGTAGATATTGTGGGGTTCTAGCCGTTAGCAGCTGAAAGGGACTAAAAGGGGTAAAAGCTCGGGAGGGTGTGCCGACGGGTGCTGACCCTTCCCTTCATGTTAGGAGGGCGAGTCGTCACAATGGTAGTACCGACCCCACACCAATGGCCGATATCTGACACCTCTCGTATTCTACACTGCAACCACTCACAGCATCGCAACCTGGTTTCGATTCACATGGCTGCCGGCTTCGTCTAGCTGCAGGCTTCGCCTCGCTTTTGCCCAGTGGCTCAGCGGCTCAATGCCCAATGTGTACAGGGCCGCATACAATTTCTCGTTCGCGGACAACCCCGCTGGCTGCCTGCATCGACGACAGCCCCCCGTTGGTTACAGCTGCATATTTGTACTCAGCCTTACCGATTCGATGGCACCTTGTCTGCAGGCTGCGACCTGGCGATGTGATCACGGCTGCACGTCTGGGAGGCCGCGATGTCTATTGGCCTATCTATGTCTCTGTATTCAGGCAACCAAGCAGTGGAGACTGCTGCCTCGCCATGGACGGTGCGCGAGATCTGGAGTGACACCATGCTTCAACTCGCTATAAAGCTGGGCGAGCGAGCTTCTCCTCCATTTCCATTTCCATATCCATATCCATTTTCAAAGGAATATCCCTCATTTCTTCGTCCATTATCTTGATCTCGTGCCTCGTTCACTACCATCTTCCCAACTACTACCTGCCCGTTCGCCTCATCGATCCAAGATGGATGACAACAGCTCCACCGCTAGCTTCGAGGACATCGGCCCCTCCTCAAACGAGGATAAGAACATCGAGAGGCTCAAGGCTCTCGTTGCCAGGTCTGATGCCAATGGCGACGCCGATGCAGAGCTCGCCGAGGACGAGGTTCCTGATGTCTGCTATGTGCTTCAGTACAAGGGTTGGGGTGGCAAGCTCGTTGACGGTCAGTCTCAACCTCCACCTGCCGTCTGCGTCTTACATGGGGTGAAATGGACGTTGCTGACATCGATTTAGTGCGCCGCAGCCTGATGCCCATTGACATTGAACTTGACGAAGCGAGCGAGGACGGAACGTCTGGCTTGAAGCCAGTGCTCGAGATTGTCACTCTCGTCTCGACCTCTGTCGTGAAGAAACGACCTGACCATTACCCTTACCCCAACCGCCTACCCCAGCCGGGCCATCCCTATTCCGGAAACCCGTATAACTCTCGCCCGCATCGCCCCATCCCTGCATACAGACAGGACAACGACGAGGATGGTTCAGAGATGAAAGTCGCTCAGGTCGAGACGACCACTGTGGTGATCAACTCTACTCACCTGATCAATGCTCTCAGGGCTGTAGTCGGTTACTACCCAGGTACATCGTTCCTCGGTGATAGTGTCAGGATCCAGGCACCGTATCGGGTCTTGGTCCATCATCGTGCCGCCCTTGCGCGATACAAGGGCAACCAGCCAGATGCTCACGACGCCGAGTACCGATCCACTACTGTCAAGCATATCGATGTGCTTCTCAACTTCCTCGAGAAAACACTCGGTGAGCAGATCCGTGAGGAGGAGAAGCGCCACAACAGGGACATCCCCACGGCGACCTTTGACAAGCTCTGGCTAGCGCTGAAGCCCGGTGAGGTCATCTATGCCAAACATGACCACCGATGGACTCCATTCGTCATCTCCAGCGTCTTGAATGCCTCGCCAAACCGTGAGGACGGTCCGGTGCCTTACTCTGTCAACTGCTGGAACATCACCTATCGCTGGGGTGAGCTTGGCCGCACCATGAAAACGTTCACCATCGAACCCTTCTCTGGCGAGGAGGCCATCAATAGCCTCAGCGTCATCCCCGCACGCTTCTTCACAGGCGAGAATAGTGACATGACCCCTAACGAAGCTAATGCCCTGCAGTTCAAGCAGGGAAAGATGGTCTGGGAGCTGGCCAAGGGCCCAGCCTACATGGCATATGACGGAAACCTCGTCGACAAAGCGCCAGAGTACGGTTCGGAAAACGC